TCCTGAATATTATCCCTTGTGTAATTGTATGACTCAAGACATGGTATGGCAGCAACTAAAGAAAGTTAATATAAACAAAGCTCCGGAGTCTGACGCTATTCACCCAAAAGTACTTAAGAAACTAAGTGTGGAAATAAGCTAACTTCTGGTTTTAATCTTTCAAGATTCTAAATTCCTATATTCAAAAAAAGGTGAAAATTCCTTGCCTGTAAATTAGAGACCTGTGAGCTAAACTTCTAAAGCTGGGAAAGTATTTTAACCCCTTAAGGACACATGACATGTGTGACATGTCATGACTCCCTTTTATTCCAGAAGTTTGGTCCTTAAGGGGTTAAAGGTCATACAATTACACCTTTCAAATACTTCCCCAGCTTTAGAAGTTTAGCTCACAGGTCTCTAATTTACAGGCAAGTAATTTTCACCTTTTTTGAATATAGGAATTTAGAATCTTGAAAGATTAAAACCAGAAGTTAGCTTATTTCCACACTTAGTTTCTTAAGTACTTTTGGGTGAATAGCGTCAGACTCCGGAGCTTTGTTTATATTAACTTTCTTTAGTTGCTGCCGTACCATGTCTTGAGTCATACAATTACACTTTTTCTGCAAGTTTTTTTTTTTTGCAGCATGATTTCTATATCTATAGCCATAGGTTCTTCCTTAATGTATACTGAGCAGAAATAGTAATTTAACATTTCTTTAATCAACACCCCTGTAACGTAGCACCCTGTACCCCAGCTGAGTTCCTCTGCCAAGGACTGCTTCCTAGCTGGAACAGGGGACAAACTGCAGCACTTCTGCCCACAGTCGTGTGGCTTGACTAGGGTCCTGGAGCCGAATGGGGAATTCATTTTAGACACCCCCAGGCACTGGACGACACAACCCTGGGAGCTCTAGTCCTTATAAGGACTTTCCCTGATGAATCCCCTGCAAGCTGGAACAGCAGCCACGGGGGTTAAATCTTCCTTCCCTCCAATAACAGGATGACACACAGTTTTGGAGTGCAAACTGGAATGCTTTAATGGCAGCCACAACTGGCCTAATATGCAAGTCCCCATGCAAGGGGCACCCCATCCTGGACCTTGTGGGGGACTGCAGCACAAAGTCACAGACAAATGACAATAAGGTTACGAGGCACAACACTCCCACACACAGCACACAATACCTCCTCTCTGCCTGGGAGATAATTGATTCAGATACTGTATTAACCCAATTATCTCCAAGTGGAAAAAACACACTTCTATAAAGTCCCCAAAGTACCACAAAACACATAATATCCCCACAAATGTTAAATCCCCTGATAGCCCTGATCTGGGTGACCAACATATCCAAAAATCACCCAGATCAGTTCAGGGGCTCAGGAAGTCTATGTCATTTATTTGACCGACTGCGGGCATGGTTCCATGCCCAAAACAGTTCCATAGAATCCGCGCTTGCGGTCAGTCTAGTTCGCTAGTGTAGCGGAGAGCAATTGAAGCAGGGCTTCTTCTCTGCTGGTTATTCCAACAGCTACTCAATAACATACAGGATACTTCAGAACAGCAGGCAAGATGATACAAGAATATCACATCCCTCTTCCCAATAACTGGACGACACTCAGTATTAGGAGCAGAATTGATCCTTTAATGGCCAGGCTGGCCTTTTATGCAGGTTTTGCCCTAAAGGCTACCACCCAATAAACACAGTCAGGTCATAAGGCACTCCCATACATTACACACAACCCTCCCCTCTGCTCAGGAGATAATTGAGTTAATTACTGTATCAACTCAATTATCTCCAAACAGAAAAATCTCAATTTTCATACTTTCTGAAAATACCCCAAAACATGTCATACACTCATAATTCCTGGGGGAGCAACATACTGAAAAATCACCCAGATCGGTTCAGGGGTTCGAAGGTTTCATGGAGGTCTTATTTTACCGACCGCACACGAGGTGTAAGCCCAGAATAGTTCCATGGGTTTGGGCTGTGCGGTCGGTCTCTGCTCGGGAAGTTGAAATGCAAGAAAATACATAAAATTATGGTTTGTGTCTTAGTTCGTGCAATTCCTCTCGCTCGTGTAATCCTTTCTACCAAATGCCGCTCTGTTCCCTTGAGTTTTCACAGACTTACACGAGGATGGAAGTCTCTGCAGTGTTTGTGCCTTTGAGTGTCCGATTTGGGTTCCAGATACTCGACGACCAAACACCGCTGGTGCAATTCGTATGCTAAGATGGCCGCCGTCACGTGTTTGAATGGCGGCCACCTACGAGATCACCCAGTTTGTTTGTGTGTTTGCAATCAGAGAGTGTGAACCAGGTTGGGGAGGTTGGTGCCACGCTTCTCGCATGGGTGGCCTGGTTGTTCGGTATTTAGTTCTTTTGCCGAACTATATAGTAGAAATAGCTGAACAGAGGGATATTCCCGAACAACCAGGCGAATGGAATAAAATGATAACTTGTTACTTGTTCCTACAAGTAACAAACAGTTGCAATCCCAATAAAATAAAGTAACAAAATGGTTATGGACAGCCTCTAGTATAAAAGGTTGACGGTGGCAAAGCCTATTCCACTACAGGTAGTTTGAAACTAACAAACTACTGAACAGAGTCAATAGTCTTACCCTGGAGCTTGTTCCTCTCATCCAGACGAATGATCTCACTAAACAATGCCCTTCTAAGTTGAATAGAATGGAACGCAGGTGATGATGGAAGTCCAGCGGTGTTCAGGAGTTTCTGTATCCGATTTTAATTCCATGAGATTCATGCCCAAACACCGCTGCCTGCGTTCATGAGAACAAGATGGCCGCTACCTCGTGGTTGTCCATAGGAATTGCGGACACCCAGACGAATAATTAGAACACTGCGATAAAAAAACTAAAAACTGCTAACTGTTTAGTTGATATGCTTTCTTGAAGAAGTGAGTTTTCAATTATTTTTTTTAATGAGTGGAGACTGGGTGAAAGTCTTATGGAGAAGGGAAGGGAGTTCCACAGAAGAGGTGCAGCTCTGGAGAAATCTTGAGTTGGGAGTACGGACAGAGGATAGACGTAGGTCTTTGGCAGAGCGCAGGGGCCTCGATGGGACATACTTGTCTAGTTGGGAGGATAGGTAGGTTGGAGCAGAATTATGTAGGGACTTGTAAGCAAGCACCAGAATTTTAAATTGAGCCTATATCTAACTGGAAGCCAATGCAGGGACTGACCGTGGGGAGGCGTGGGAGGTGCGAGCGGACAGGAAAATGAGCCTCGCCGCCGCATTCAATATAGATTGCAGCGGTGCAATCTGGGAACACGTAAGACCACTGAGAAGGGGATTGCAGTAGTCAAGGTGAGAGAGAACAACAGCATGGACAAGCATCTAAATCGCATGCAGCATTAAATAGGGATGGAAGCGACAGGATTTGTCAATTGATTGGACATGAGGGCTGAAGGAGAGGTTGGAGTAAAAAAGAACACCCAGGCAGCGAGCCTGCGAAGTAGAGGTGATGGTAGCGCCATTGATTTTGAGGGAGACAAACATGGGAATAGCAACACTTGAGGGAGGAAAGACCAGAGATTTTGTTGTGAACAGGTTGAGTTTAAGGAAGTGAGCAGGCATCCAGTTGGAAATTGCAGAGAGGCAGTCAGAGACAAGATGGATGGAGAGAGATCAAGAGAGGACAGGTAGATTTGTGTGTCATCTGCATAGAAATGATAACAGAAGCCAAGAGAGGCAGTATAGATAGAGAACAGTAGAGGACCAAGGACAGAACCATGTGGGACGCCGACAGAGAGTTGTTGGGGAGAAGAGTCAGAGAAAGAAACACTGAAAGAGCACTGGGAGAGGTAGGAGGAGCACCAGGAGAGTGCAGTATCCCGTAGACCAAAATTATGGAGAATGCAAAGAAGCTGTTGATGATCAACAGTGTCAAAGGCAGCAGAAAGATCAAGGAGAAGAATAAAATTGCAAAAGCCACGTAAGAGACAGGGAAGCATTTGATTCTATTCCAGATCCAGACTCCAGTTCTACCACTCATAAACTACAACCTGGAGATTAAAGACACGTGAGAAAAGGGCTTGAGCCAAGATTTGATGGTCCGTTCCAAGTGTTGCTAACCACATCCACCAGGAAAAGCAACGTGAATACACACCAGTCACTGTAAACAAGTCACTCTGATTGATCCACCGACATGAAGCTGTACTTATCCTTTACCATTGTATGCTCTGTTCAGATATGCTACTCTGACTTGAGACCAGAAGATAATGCATG